TTATATATTATATATTATATATAATATAATATACATATTATATATATTGTATATATTATATATTATATATATTATATATATTATATATATTATATATATTATATATATTATATATATGAGGGGACGACGCAAGTAAATGTTAAGAAATTCTTATAAACCCTATTTCACATATTTGCAGCAGCAGCAACTGTATCAACAGCAGCAACTGCAGCAGCAGCAACTGCATCAACAGCAGCAACTGCAGCAGCAGCAACTGTAGCAGCAGCAACTGTAGCAGCAGCAACTGCAGCAGCAGCAACTGCAGCAGCAGCAACTGGAAGAGACAATATTATTAAGTGTGTGTTTGTTAAAAAAGAAAAATTTTCAAAGGAGATAAGACAACAAACCTGCTGCAGCAGGGCTTAAAGCTGCTGCAGCAATTGGGTGCTGCAGCAATTGGGTGCTGCTGCAGCAAACGGGTGCTGCTGCAGCAAATAGGTGCTGCTGCAGCAATTGGGTGCTGCTGCAGCAAGCGGGAGCTGCTGCAGTTGCAGCGGGAGGGGCCCTTTAAAGCTGATGGTGCTGCAGTTGCTGCTGCAGCAGAGAGCGTTAGAGCTGCTGCAGCACTTGGGGGCCCTGAAGGGTGCTGCAGCTGCTGCAGCAGCAGATATTCTAGAACCTCTGTGCTGTCTGGCAGTTGCTGCTGCTGCTGCTGCTGCTGCTGCTGCTGCTGCTGCTTCAGATGCCTTAGGGCCTCTTAGAGGGGCCCCCCAGCGGTTGCTGCGGCTGGGGCTCTGCTGGCAGCAAACTTCCTGCAACGCGACCCCCTTCGACGCACAAACGACGAGCCCCCAACAAACTGCAGCAGCAGCAGCAGCAGCAGCAGCAGCAACAGCAGATAGAGCAGCAGTAGATGCAGCAGAAGATTGTGCAGCAAGTGCAGAAGAAACAGCGGCAGCAGCACCAGCAGTTGATACAGCAGCAGGAAGTAAAACAAGTGCAGCAGAGACAGCAGCAGCAGCTGGAGCGAGTGAAGAAGCTCATAGTTTCTCTTAGGGTTTAGGGTTTAGGGTTTAGGGTTGAGATAGAAATGGGTAGGGTTTCTGCATCTCTTTCTTTCTTACCTTGGCCTCCCCAGCAAAGACCTCTGGGTTTGCGTCTGCTGCTGCTGCTGCTGCGTCTGCGTCTGCTGCTGCTGCTGCTGCTGCTGGCTTCCTTCTAGCAGCGCAGGAAGAGTTTGTGAGAGACCAGCAGCATGGGGGCCCCCCAGTTGACAGACAGCAGAATAATCTGCTAAACAATTTGCACCGCCCTGCTGCTGCTGCTGCTGCTGCTGCTGCTGCGGCTGCTGCAGGTGGTGGGCATGGGTTGAAGGCTCGTAGGTTTTTGCTGCTGCTGCAGCTGTTGCTGCTGCTGTTGCTGCTGCTGTTGCTGCTGCTGCTGTTGCTGCTGCTGCTGCTGCTGGAGGTAGAACAGCTCGTTGCTGTTGCTGCAATTGTGCTGCGTTGTTGTTGCTGCTGCTGCTGCTGCTAATATCATCAGCTCGTCTTGATACAAGTAGGGGGCCCCCCTGCAGCAAAGCAGCAGGGAGGGTCCGCTCAGCAGATATATCCTTAGAAACGCATTCTTCTGCCTGCTGAATTAGCTGCTGCAGTGAGCCTGCTGCAGCAGCAGGAGCAGGAGCTGCTGCTGCTGCTGCTGCTGCTGCTGTTATTGTTGTTGTTGTTGCTGCTGCTGCAGTTGCCCCGTGCAGTACTGACGCAGCAGCAGCAGCAGTTGTTGGAGTTGTGAGTGCCAGCGGGGTAGGAAGTGCTGCTGCTGCTGCTGCTGGATCAGCAGCAGCTGCTGCTGTTCGCATGCGCGTCTGCTGCAGCAGCATATAACTGTAGCCTTCTGTTGCTGCATTTGCATGCAGCTGCTGCTCCTGCTGCTGCTGCAGCTGCCCTGTGTTTGGTGCTGCTGTTTCAAGACCCCAGCCCGAAACCTTTTGCTGATCTCCTGCAGCAGCAAACCACCAGCAGCTAAACCCTAAACCCTAAACCCTAAACCCTCGCGTTTACAAACCCTCCTTTGCTAGCTTGATGCGGCAGAGAGAAAAAGAATATATTTAAAGGCTGCTGCTGCTGCTGCTGCTGCTCACCCCCAGCTAAAGAATCGATAGGAATTGCAGAGCCGCCTGTGTGGCTGGACCTAGGCAGCACCTGCAGCAGCAGCAGCAGCAGCAGCAGCAAGAACAGCATATTTAGCTACAGCGGGAGCAAGCAGCTAAGCAGCACCAGCAAAACCAACAGCAGCAACTCCGGCAGAAGCATCAGCAACAACAGCAGCAGCAACAGCAGCATTAGCAACAGCAGCATTAGCAGAAGCATCAACAGCAGCAGCATTAGCAACAGCAACATCAGCAACAAAAACATTAGCAGCAACAGCAGCAGCAGCAATTGAGGCTGACAAGAGTATGCAGTATGAGATGCTTTGTTGTGGGGTGTATGTACAGCTGGAGAGCAGCAGCAGCATTTGCATGCAGACGGTTCGACTGAAGGCGCAAGCAGCTGCCCCTGCAGCAATACTCTGCTCCACCCCTGCTGCTGCTGCTGCTGCTGCTGCTGCTGCTGCTGCTGCTGCTGCTGCTGCTGTTGCTGCAGATAAGGAGACGAAGGCCGCTATTCCTCAGCATTGCAATTAGCGCATCTGCAGTAAACCTGAAAAATAAATAAATAAATAATAATAAATATTTATTTATTTATTTTTCAGGTTTACTGCAGATAAATAAATAAATAAATAAAATAAATAAATAAATAAATAAAATAAATAAATAAATAAATAAATAAA